GCAAAAGGTTTAATATGGAAGCTATAAGCATTCTATAACGAAATGCCAAAGGAGAAATTGCAGATAAATCGGAGCGCGAAGATAGCTTTCCAGGGGTGCGAGTTTGACAAACAGTTACATATCTCGCTCCGCAAAAGATTGCATGTAGAAGCTATATGCATTCTACATTCACCGGCCAAAGGAGACATTCCAGATAAATCGGAGCGCGACAAAGATGGCTTTCCATGGCTGCGAGGTAAACATAAATTTACATATCACGCTCCGCAAAAGGTTTAATATGGAAGCTATAAGCATTCTATAACGAAATGCCAAAGGAGAAATTGCAGATAAATCGGAGCGCGAAGATAGCTTTCCAGGGGTGCGAGTTTGACAAACAGTTACATATCTCGCTCCGCAAAAGATTGCATGTAGAAGCTATATCTGTACTGTGTCAACCTGCCAAAGGAGAAATTGCAGCTGCATCGGAGCGCGACAAAGATGGCTTTCCATGGTCCAGGTCGGGCCGTTGCGCAGGCGGAGGTGCCAGCCCCCGCAGCGGGCCATGTCGGCAGCCCCCATCCGCCGGCCGCCTTGCCGCCCGCGTCCCCGCCGGCGGCGGCGGCCCCGGACCCGCCGATCCGTTCATGTGCTTGCAGTCTTATGCCGTACATACGGGCTGCAAGTGGCTGCACCGGGGCCTCGCCCCTTTTCGGCTTTGAAAAGCCGCCCCCCTAGTCTCCAGCCGTGGTGACGCATCCTCGCCCAACTCGTCAGCGGGCTGTGCAGTCGGGGCACATGCTGCTTTTGCACGCTTGAGGGCTTGGAGAGCTTTAAGGTTCGGGGCGAGGGCCCTCAGCGACTTGATTGCCACCTCGGAATCCGCATCCGCCAGCCGTGCGTTGACTTCGACCTCTGTGCCAGCAAGGAAGACAGAAAGCAGGCGGTGACAAAACAGCAAGTTTGCACCTTTCGTTCAAAACAAAACCGAATGGAGTCGGCGTCACAGGCAGCGGCTCACAAAGTCGGTTACATGCCAGGGTCCCAAACTTCCATTGGTATGGGCGTAGGCATCGACCTAAAACAAGACCCATTGCAAAGAGCGCAAGCGTCGGATAAAGTATACCCTGTAGTGGTTGGTCAGTCCTGGTCAGTCCTGTCCAGTCCTGTTCAGCAAGCGGTGAAACCAAATTAGGCTGAAGTGGTTCTTACCGCCAGCCACGGTCTTCACTGACGCCAAGTCCACCAAGCCTTCTTCAGACCATGTTTTGGCGATTGCGGCATCGGCCGACTGCCCGATGGGGTCCATCCCAAGCGTTTCCACGATGACTTCGGCCATGTCCCTGGCGAAGCCCAACCCCGTCAATTTTGCCAGCTTTTGACGCTTCTGCAGAAGGTTAACACCATTGGGAAGAGAACAGGCATGGAACGCGACTTGGTGTAAATGTGAGAAAAGTGCACCATTGGTGCACCCTGCCAGTTCTTCAGTCCACCGGTCTGTCCACCGACTGCATGCTGGAAATAGAAATAGAAATAGAAGTAGAAATGCACATAGTATAGAACCAACAGTGCTGCAAGCCGCCAACGCCCGTGGTCCTTCCTTGTTAAATTTCCGGTATAATCCGACCTCGAAATTGCAATACAGAATGGATAACAGTTACACAGAGTACCTGGCAAGAGCGCGGGGCAATCCCGATGGTCCTATCACTGCTGGCATGCTCTTAGCCCTCTACGGGGACTTCAGGAAGCTCGGGGACCAGGTGCTAGATCTAAAAAATGAGCAACAGCTCTCACGCGTGGAGATCATCGATCTCCAGGGCCGGGTCAGCAAACTGGAAACCGACCCGAGCGGCATCACGATGGATGCCCGCGGACTAATTAGCAGTAATAAGTTTTTCTATTGGGACAGCGTCGTTATCACGACGGACAAGAACAAGGATGAGGGCAGCGTCCGGGCCTGCCTCGCCGAGCTGGGGCTACATGTGCTTGATATCGGCCTTCTCACTCGCACTGAGAGGCCAGATCGCAGCACAAAGAGCTGGCTTATTGATATCCGGTGGAAGGACCGGGTAAAATTCTTTAAAGCCGCACCTGACCTGAAAAGGTTGGGTCTCCGGGTAGATGACTCGCTCACCAAGGAAGGGCGGGCGGAAAGATCCAGGTTGCGGCCCATGTGGCAGGTGATAAAAGCGAAGCAGTGGATCCCCATGTGGCGCAACGGGGCCGAACTGTTTTATAAGAAGAGCCCGAACGGGAGCGCACCGGTGCCCTACCCAAGCCAGTACGGTGACGACGACAGCGACAGTGGAGAGGGTGGAGAGATGGATGCCGAGAACGATGA